CTGTGACAGTCAAGAAACATACTTGTAGTCTCAGAAATTGGCAGGTTGTCCAGAAGGTGGCACTGTGTTCTCAACCACTGCAACCTTTAGATGTTGGGAAAAGTTTTAAACTGCAGCAATTTTAACTTTTGAGTCTTTTTTTTGCCTGGACTTGTGTTTGTCCATCTTCTTTAGTCAAAATATTAATTCAATATTAACGAATAATTGTAGTCATCACATTTTCTGGAGGAACAAGACATCCATGCAAATCAGATTATCCATCAATCCATGAATACATCTAGCCCTTGATTTCTAACTGCTTTATCAAATTCCTGGTCCTGGAGGAGCCAGATGTTATCCCGGCAAGCAACAGGCACCAGGCAGGAAAATCTCTGGATGGGACACCCGTCCATGGCAGGCACAAAGACACACAAACACATACTCACTCACAGTGTGTGGAGACCCACGCAAACATGGGGAGAACATGCAAACTCCACACGGATAGCACCCCAGAAAGGGAACCCATAGCACTAGTGTTGCAAGGCAGAAATGCTAACCACTGTGCCACCCCCAAATCAGATTATACAATTCTGCTTTATGTAGTATAGTAAGGCATCATTCTTGTGACCGATCTGTGCTCCTATAACTGAACGTCATAACCTTGAAGCATGGAGATTTTGAGTCAGGTGTGCTCCTCACCATCTCTTCGTTCTTGCCTTTCTCACCTGAGCATCATGTACTCAGTAATGCCAACACACTCTGTAAGCCAAGTTTGTATAACTCTTATAATGAGCGTGCTTATCCCTCTGCTTCTAAATCCACTGTTAAGAGCATAAAAACAAATGACGGTGCAGTTTGGCCCATCTAGCTCATTTGACATCTGTCAGTGCTGCTGGCATTGAGGTAGAGGCCTCTAAGGACTGTGCTTCTTGCTGATTTTGTCTTGAAAAGTGTTTTGCCTGCGTGCACTTGCACACAGAAAGTTATCAGCTCGGGAATCTGCAGAGTTTTCTTTCTGCCCTGAGTGACTGATGCTGCATTCAGCCTGGGCCGTTTAGTCTCTGTTAATTGAGCTCCCAGTCCCCTTGGTTTCCTAGTTTAAATCATTTTAACTTGTACCTGCACACACCCCTACACGGTGCGTGCGTTCCCTCTCAATTCAGATACCGGCCAAGACCCTGCGTGTTCAGGTCCCTTCAGCTCCACGTGAAAGCCAGTTGCCCTGCGAACCTAATCTCGTCTCGAATACACCAGGATCTTCTGAGTCATTAGTGTGTCTTAGTATTTGGATACAGCATTTCTGTTCTTTCGGTCACGCATGTGTTTTCAGGCCCTATGGAGCTCCAGCCCGCCCACCTCGCAATGGAACCCCCATCCCATCACCCCCAGTGCTTCACGGCGGGGGAGACCACTGAGCAGATAGTTTAAAGGAGGTTCCTTTCTTATAATAATAATAATAATAAACTTTATTTTATATAGCGCCTTTAAAGGTGGCTTCTCAAAGCGCTTTACAGGATGACAATAACAATAAATAAGAAGACTACAACAATAAATAAGAAGACTACAACAATAAATAAGAAGATTTCACAAGATAGGACACAATTATAATTACAACAATACAACAATAACAAGACCGTGGAAGGTGGTATTAAGAAGAGCAGAGGGGTGAAGAATGGAACCAGTTCAGTAAAGGCTTTTCTGAAGAAGAAGGTTTTGAGTCTAGATTTGAAGGAGTTTAGAGAAGGTGACTCTC